AGTCTTTCTGGAGCCTAATGGATTGTTTCAGGATGGTGCCTAAATTCTCCAAATAATTTAACACAGAGAGCTGGGAAATAGCTTGAGAGTCCCCAGGCCTGACTACGAATATGGGTTGGGGTCAGAGTCTGGCACAATTCTTGATTCTGGCTACCTTTCTCTGTAATCAAAGTTCTGAACTGCCCTCACCTTCCATGTGCCCTCACTTGGCCCCCTCACAAAGCACAAGTGAGGAGCTCACTAAGTGAGCCCACGAAGGGTGGCCGGCCAGAATCCGAGGGATTTACACAAACCCCTACCCAGCACTTGGGGCAGCCAAGATCTGCAGAATTACTTCCAAGCAAAACACCGTATTTATTGGGCATCCTCAGTTTAGTTTCCCAAAAGAGCTGCCTGCGAGTCAGACTTTCTCAAAGGAATAGAGCACCCCCTGCTGGGTAAATAGCATCGCCGTTAAGCTGTCCACTCCCAAGCACCAACATCTGAAAATACACCGTTAATGAATTAACCTCGTGTAATACCCAGAAACAACAGTATGAGTCATAGTGATAAAATTGTGAGTTCTAGGAGTTATATATGGACTTGGTAATAAGTGGATTTTTTAAATGTTTCATGACTCCCGAGTTCCGAACAATTTTTTTTTTTTAGATCTTTATCTCAATTATGGAAACGAGGTAAACATTTTCAAGTACTAAATGTTCCAGTAGGATTTCCTACCATTTCAGAGAGGAGTGGTCACAGAAGATCTCACAGGGGAGGCTGCACGGTCCAGGCAGAGCACATGGGTTTGGAGATCAGCCAGCCTAGGTTGCAATCCATTTACTACTGGAGTGGTTTCAGGTCGGAACAAGTTGTTTGGTTTTGAGTTACCATCTCGTGATCACGAGGACAATAATATCCACCTTCAAAAGTGGATGTGAGGACTGGCTCCTGTGCCTGAAGCACTCAGAGGCGCTCAGTTAACTGTGGGTGGCATTGTTACTGTTACTCTATTATTAAGAAGTGGGTCTAATGGGCTTCAAAGGATGGGCAGCGCCTGGATGCAGATCTTACCTTCCCAGGGGGCAGCGACTGCATCTGGAGGCCTGCATCTGGCTCAGAGCATTTGCCCCTGGGTCACAAGGGCAGTGCTCACACTGGGCACTCCAGTTCCTTTGAACCCCACCACCATGATCAGGGTGCTGGCTTCATGAAATATCCTTCTCATGGGCCCATCTGGACAATTCCCCCTCTAGGAGATACCCCTGGTCCCTCTAATTCCACCTCTGTCTTGCTAGCTGGAGCCACCTTCATCTCTCTCTTGAGCCAGTGCAAAAGCTCTTCTGCCGTTCCACCTCTGTTCTTAGCTGCTCAAACCCAGGGTAACTTCTATTTGATAAAACAAACTCCGATTGGGGCCGCTCCCCTAGCCCCCCCAGCTTACCTGCCTATCTTGCTTGTAAGGCAAGTCTCGCCTCTGGGCTTTTTTGCAATTCGCTCTCCCTGCCATCGATCCTCATCCCCTAAATTCTTCCTTCCAGTCCTTTGGGTGTTGGCTCACACACTCAAGGAAGGTGTGAGAAATAGCACACTTTCTTATTTTCTTCAAAGCAGATTAAATTTTTTTGGCCTCTGCTGTGCTGCAGCAGAAATTAAATCTGTGGTCACCAGGGTGTTTCCTCCTTTTAGGGTCTCACAAGCATTTGGGATGTTCATGAGTGACCTCAAAAGTGGGCGAGGACCTCTGTTCTTCAGCTTATCTGGGTCACGGCTGCTATCCTCGTGGCCAGTTCTGAGGGGCTCTGGAAGGAGGTGGCTCCAATGTTTGGGGGTCTTTGCCTAGGCTTGAAAACACCCCCAAATCACGAGGCTGTGAAGCTCGTCTCACTGGGTACCACCAGCAACTGGGGCACAGCTTTCCACTACTCTTGAGAGGCTCCTCCTCTCATTCCCTCCCTGGCTTCCCAAGCAAGGGGTAAAGCTGTTTTTGAACTCATCTGTTCCCTCTGTTGGGAACAAGAAGTTCGAAGGACCCAACCACTCGGAGTAGGAAAAATTCATAAACAAATTAATATTTGAAGTTATGTGCTATAAAGGCTACTGTTACAAGGTCTCACCGTGATTATCCAATCTAAGTCAGGTCTCCCAGTCCCACTCTCTACACGCTTTGGTGTAGGGCCGCAGTGTTGGGGCCCAGTCTGGTCTGTCGGTACACCCATCTCTGACTACTGGCTCTGTGTTGGCGGCCAAGAGTTCATGGTTGCACTGTCCTCCGGGTAACCTCGTCCCCTGGCAACGCCTAGGGTATGTCATCCCAGGGGGCGGTGGGAGGGGCAGAACCAACGAATGTACATTGCACACTGAATACAAAGGCCTAGCCACTTGCCTCAAGGTGGGGAAATGTGACATCACATTCCGGAGCACCTATGGAACCTGGCTGAGGCTCGACTTCAGCCTGACCCTCTATCTTTGCTCAGCTTCCTCCTCTGCTCTAGCCTGTTTCCCTCACAGGCTCCTCCTGAGAAGCACAACCTCACGAAATCCCTTCACAAGAGACTCGGCTTTAGGCTTTGCTTCTAGGTACCCAACCTAAGTGACATCCCATTATTGCCCTTCCCCAGCACGTGTCGCAATTGAAAAGCATAAACGTGTAGAACTATTGGCTTGATGCTCATTTCCCCCACTAAAAAGCAGAAGCCGTACTTCTGTTCACTGCTGTATTCCCCAAACCAAGTGAGGTGCCTTTTACAGAGGAAAGCGATGCACGGTTTTGAACTGGACGCTGCATGAGCACAGCCTATCGAACCTTGCTCTGCAGACTTTCCTCTGGGTGCTACGCTACATTTGCTTGAAAAACCGCCTTGCAACAGCTGCCTAGCATCTCTTGTGGCCATCATCCCCAAGCCAGTCCTAGATAGAGTCCAAAGCCGCAGTGGACAGTGTGGCCCAGGTTTGGTCACCTAATTCCTGACACAGTGAGCTGTGGTTTTTGACACCACATCACAGGTCAAACTTGGTGTGGGGGGACAGTTCTTAGATGAGGGTATAAACCAAGCAGATACATCAACTGCTCTCTATTTTTCAGGCATCATACTCTGATTCAATGGAAATTAAGACAGCTTTCACATTTTACATCTACCTATATCCCTGGGAAAGGCTGGATTCATATGAACATGCCCTAGATTCCTAGATGTCAGCGTCTTAGCTATTACATACCTCAAGGGAAGTTGTAGTAAAACCCTCATTTAATTAGAATGTGTAGGAACCGTGGCATTCCAGGTACTTGCATTTTCTGAAAAACTTTTTCTTAGTATACATTTCTTCTGAACATTGTAATTCTCTTTTCTATTGGGTTGTCTGTCTTTTGTTATTGAGGGGCTGGGACTTGGGGTCTTTATTCTGAGATGTATGACTTGTAGGCAAAACACTGATGCACTGGGAGATTAGCCTGGATGTGTCTGGATTACAGGAGAGTTGCCACAACCCCATTTCTGATTGAAACCCTAAAATCAGCTCATTTGTGATATACTTCTTCCTAAAAGCTAGGTAAACAAAAAGACCCCATAAAAAAGGAGAAGAGGGGTGCCTGGGTTCAGTTGGTTGGGCATCTGCCTTTGGCTCAGGTCGTGATCCCAGGGTCCTGGGAGGGAGCTGTGTCAGGCTTCCTACTCAGCGGGGAGCACACTTCTCCCTCTCCCCCCACCCCACCTGCTCCCCAACTCATGTGCAGGCGCTCAAATAAAATCCTAAACAAAAACAAAAACAAAAACAAGCAGAAGAGATACTTCAATTATTCAGTGTTTCTAGTTTTTGAATGACGGATATAGAAATATAAGTCAGGGCCTCTTCCCACAGTTCACAACCTAGGTAAGAAAACGAGACACCACTTAACAGAGGCAAATAATTCCAGGAGACAAATGTCCATGGATGTGCTTTTCAGAATGAGTTTTTTTTTTTTTTTTTTAAGATTTATTTTTATTTGAGAGAGAGAGACGGAGAGAGAGAGAGTACGGGAAGGGGCAGAGGTGAGAGAGAAATCTCAACCAGGCTCCCCGCTGAGCATGGAGCCTGACCTGGGGCTCAACCCCAGGACCCTGAGATCATAATCTGAGCTGAAATCAAGAGTGGATGCTGAACCGACTGAGCCACCTAGGCGCCCCTCAAAATATGAGTTCTTATATAAATGTGTAACTGCACACGGGCTTCATGGTGTTTCCGTTGTATCTGAAAGGACTGTGAAAATACGAAATCTTGTTATTGGATAAAACTAGTGGTCCAGCCAGCCAAAGGTCCTTTCCAGTGGCCCCTTATTAACTTGTAGAGAGCAGAAGTACCTGCCAGATAGCCTTTTTTTTTTTTTTTTAAGATTTTATTTATTTGACAGAGAGAGCACAAGCAGAAGAAGAGAGAGGGAGAAGCAGGCTCCCTGCTGAGCAAGGAGCCTGATGTGGGACTCGATCCCAGGACCCTGGGATCATGACCCGGGCTGAAGGCAGCTGCTTAACCGACTGAGCCACCCAGGCATCCCCAGATAAGCTTTAATCTGTGAATTTATCCAAATTTTGAAAACGCCACAGGGGATCTTAGGAATCCCAGCCATCAGTGAGTGGGTTATCCAGACATCCATTCTACCTGCAGGTGCTATACACTGCTGCTCAGAGGGAGGCATGTGAGAAGTTAACACTCTCCTTACACCTGGCTTCCCTGTCTTTGCCCACCCCTCTCATGTCTTCAGTCACCTGTGTCACGGGACATAAGGAAGTAGCTGCAATGGGTTAAACTCTGACAGTAAAGCGAAATCAGAATGAAAGGCAAATGCTGAACCAGTCACATTCAAACACAAGCTGGTGAATGAAGAACTTTTGGTTCAAAGGGCCAAATACTCTGCATTCTTGAGAAATCTCAATCAATTCCTCATTCTGGTATTTCCACATTGCATTTTGCTGTCACAAAAACTAGGTAGGTGTACATTTTTGAGTGTAGATGTATCACTTCAAGATCTAAATGAGGAGACGAAAGAAAACATTTTGTATCTATGTATTTTTCAAAAATCTGTCCATGAAGGAGGAGCCAGCTATTAGTTTCCTATAGGGGGAACATTCTCATGGAGATACTGTAAGGCCAAGTCGGTCCACTTCATTTCTTGTTCTTTAACAGATTCTGTGGTGCCACCGTTGTCCTGTTCAGGTTCAGGAAGCTCATTCTGCAAAGGTACAATGGACATTCAGAATGCTGGTATACTCTGCATTAACAAACCCCTTAAACTCAAGAGCACTTAGAATTCAAACCTGTGAGTTCTTAGAAACAGGCAGCATAACTGACAGAAGTGTATCCTAAAGAAAGAACTAGGATAAAAAGATCGACCCTTTGTCTCCTCTTTGGCAATGAGAGGAAAAAGTAGCCATCACCTCATAGGATAGCTATGAAACTAAATGAGGTAATTGAGGTCAAGTGCTCACCACTGTGGGCGGCCATCTGATGCTCAATAGCTGCTATTATTCCTAGAGGCTAGGATCACCGAAAAGACCCAATACGGAGTCCTTTTTTGGGAGGCTGCTTTAATTGAATACCACATTTGCTGGAATATTCCTTAAGCACAAGAAATGTTATTAAAAAAAAAAACTATCCTGTACCCAGCATGCCTATATTCTTATGGAGGTGAGTGGAGAGCACTGAAAATGTAACATAATAGAGGAGATGTCCCCCTAGTGATGGAGCACAGCAACATAAACCCTGGTAAACGACCAGATCCTCCCCTGCCAGTAACTGTCGTAGAATGGTAAGCCATGGGCCTCACTTAGTATGGAATCTGATGTATAGTGTTTTTTTCAGCTTGAGATTTAATTTACATATAACATTGTGTGAGTTTAAGGTGTACCACATGATGATCTGACATAGTATACTATGAAATGATTATCACAATAAGGCTAGTTAACACATTCATCACCTCATTATAGTTAACTATGTTTTTATGTATGTGGTGAGAACTTTTGGTAGTTTCCTTATATTTTAAATTTAAATTTATTACAACCAGGATTCTGCTTTGTCCCAGAGTTTACTGATACCAATATATTTCAATTATTTGAATTTATACTTTTTTGGGGGGCAGCAAACTGTTACTCAATATTGAGATTTTCAATTTCCCACTGATTCCAATTTGCAGTATATGAATGTTTTTCTCCTTCAAAATTATGCTAGTATATATAAAATGATTTATGGTATGTACAAATATATCTGAACCGCACACATGTTGTTTTTTAAACATAATACTGAGATTCAAACATATTTGTACAAATTGCAAAGACCTATCATTTACTGTAAAGCAATCATACATTCAAACTTAAAGAGAAAGTTTGGTTCCAATAATTATTTATAGCTCACAAAGCACAAACAAGTCCTTGGTTAGTGAATTATTTGATTGACAGACAAGCAACTTAATTTCATCTTATCTGTGGTATATGTTCTTTTTTTCTTTGAAGATTTATTTTGAGAGAGTGAGTGTGTGTGTGTGTGTGTGTGTGTGTGCACGCGCGCGCGCGCGCGCCAAGCAGACTCTGAGTGCACTGAGCCTGGAGCCCAATGCTGGACTCAATCCCAGGACCCCAAGATCATGACCTGAGCTAAAACCAAGGGTTGGACACTCAACCGAGCCACCCAGGTGCCCCTCTGTGGTGTATGTTCTAAAATAGTATCTTTCATTTGGTCACTACTGTCTTTTACACCGAATGCCAAGATGAAAAAATGTGTATGTGCTTGGAAACCAACACAAAGTATCATAAAGTGGGCGCCTGGGTGGCTCAGTTGGTTAAGCGACTGCCTTCGGCTCAGGTCATGATCCTGGAGTCCCGGGATCGAGTCCCACATCGGGCTCCCTGCTCGGCGGGGAGTCTGCTTCTCCCTCTGACCCTCCCCCCTCTCATGCTCTCTGTCTCTCATTCTCTCTCTCTCAAATAAATAAAATCTTTAAAAAAAAACAACAACAAAACAAAACAAAACAAAGTATCATAAGGTATCATAAACACAACCATCAATTATGGTTTACTGCAAATTGGCCTCAATCGTTGGCAGTTACTCCCATGAAAAGGCAGAGTCGTATTTCCCCAATATCAGATTGGGACTGACCGAGTCACTTGCTTCGGCTAGCAGAGAGCAGCCGCAGTGTCCGTGGGCCCGTTCTTGGCTAAGCTCCATGAAGCCTCACAGTCCTTGTCCTGCTGCTCTTGGAACCCTGAGATGGCCATGTGCAGTCTAGGCCAGTCTGCTGGGTAACGAGGCTTTGACCTTGCCACGTCATCATCCCAGCTGACCTGCTTACCTACCAGACATGTGAAAAGTCTCCCCATCCCCCAGCCTCCAGCTGGCCTGCTGACCGCCTGCAAAACACCAGCAAGTCCAGCAGGGATCAGCCGAGCTGGCAAAGACTGGAAGACCCTCTCAGCTGAGACACAAGATCACGAGATAAACAGCTGTTGTTTTAAGTCACTCGGGGGAGATTTGTTAGGCAGCAACAAAAGCTAACCAGTGCACGCTGAGAGTCACGAGACACAGGAAAAGACAGAACAACAAGAAGGCCAGGCTATAGCCTGGATGTTAGCATGGAAACTTCCTTCTCCCTCAACTCCTTCCACCGCAGTGGTCCCCAGATCCTGCCATAAGCCTGTCCAGAATCCAGCAGTTCCCCTCCACTCGCGTGCCTTTGTTTAGGCCTGCCTCCCTGCCTACACTACTGTGATCGCTTCCTCATTGGTCCTTCTGCCCTGTCACTCGCCCCTTTCTCCATGGCACACATTCCCTAACAATTCCCTTCGGAACTGACATTCTAAAACTCAAATTTGAGTGTGGCAGATTTCTATTTTGAAGACCATGCATTCCTGGTTATCCTCAGAATGAAGTCTAAGTATGGCATTGTACACTCCTCTCAAAATCTGGTCCAAGCCCATCTTTTCTGCCTACCTTAGATGACAAATATAGTCTCTGTCCACACTGAATGTCTCACCATCTCCCAAAGCCTTTCAAAACTCTGAGCCTGTGCACATCTGTCCCCTCTGTTGGGAGTGCCCTTGTCTACCCCCACTAAATTTCTGGCCCTCCCTTATGACCAGCTTAAATATTACATTCTCTCTGAAGCCTTTCCTGATACTCAACAGGCATCAGCCACCTCCTATCCTATGTTGCTATTCACAACCCGGCTTGTAACATTTATTATTGTAATTACTTATTTCTATGTGTTGCCTCTCTAGATCCCCAGGGGCAGAAACTGTAGCTTATGCTCACATAGTCTTATGGCACACAGTAGGCTTCAAAGAAATGCCTGTCAAGTGAAAAAACAGACAAAAGTTTACAAGACAGGATCTGGAGCCTTCACACAGACCTAAGTGTGAAGTCCAACTTAACAGCTACCCGGCTTTGCACAAGTTCCCCTCTCTGATCCTATTCCCTTCTGTAAAATGGAGATAACACCACTGCCCTTGCCAGGCTGTTTCAACGGTTAGAGAGAACGTATGTCAAATTTCCACCTCAGTCCATGGCATAAAACTGGTATTAAGTGGCAGCTAGAATTCTCACTGTGCGCTCCCTTTTGACTATTTTTCTAAACTTGAAATAAGCTGTGACTTATTATCTGTTATGTGTATTTTTTTTTTTTTAAAGATTTTATTTATTTATTTGAGACAGAGAGCATGAGAGAGAGAGAGCACATGAGAGGGGGGAGGGTCAGAGGGAGAAGCAGACCCCCTGCCGAGCAGGGAGCCCGATGTGGGACTCGATCCCGGGACTCCAGGATCATGACCTGAGCCGAAGGCAGTCGCTTAACCAACTGAGCCACCCAGGCGCCCCTATCTGTTATGTGTATTAATCACTGCGCATATCATCATCTCTTAGTCTTAAATGAAAATATGGGTGAGCGGAATTTTATTTCTCAGTAAGCAGCAGCAGTCTACTTGGAAGCTGCATTTTATTAACAGCTCTTCTCAGGGTACTTGGCAGGCTCTGAAGAAAAACAGTCCCTGGAGTCTCTTCTCCTTGTTTTTTTGTTAGGCCTCTATGACATAAATAGGATTTAAAAAACATTTATTAATGCAAAACTTTTAGATCATTTATTACAGGAGGTTCAACAAATTCCCTGCAGGAGAGTTCTCTAGAGGTCAGGAAAGAAAAGAGTGTCCCAGGACCCCTTCGGTCTAAATGCAAGAGAAAAGCCAGGTGTCTTCCAAACATTTTCCAGGGAAACTAGGATAGGTGTGTGTTCCAAAAATATGTCTCTAAAAATAGCTAACGATCAACCACAGGTAGACAAGTAAGAAATATAGTGTAAATGCCATTGCTTCTCGTTCCTCTCCATCTTTTGTACATTGGACTCTCATCATCTGGTTTACTAGCTTTGGTGCGGCAGACAGAACATGGCTCAGAAGTCTTGAGTCCAGTCCTGGCATGACCCCTAACTGAGCTCATCATATCAGCTCTCTGAACCACAGTTCTCTTCAAATAAAAAGTCAAACTATCCAGTGTCTTCTAGAGTTAGAGGACTCCACAGCTTTGATTTCTTTGCCCTACTAGTTTGTCCATTGACATCCAACTTCTACTAGGGCTCAACAGCTCATACCTTTAACCCACCATCCTTGGCACAAATTATAGTTTACCAGTGGTATTGCAACATCCTCATACGGCAGCTTGTCTTCTCGCCAAGCATCGTCAATCAAGTCCAAGATCCTTCCATCTCTCTGTACCTCACTGTCCATTCTCCTGCAGCTTTGATCTTGTCAGATCTGTAAGCCAAAGAGGTTATTTCTTAAGCATTAAGACTGAGGAGGTGATGTAATCTAGCATTAGGATTCCCCAGGCTTTTTAGCCTGCATGTATCTTTTGGTATAACATCACCCGGGGAAATGGGAAAGACTCATCTTCTCATCTGGGTCAGGTGACAATCTATTTCTAAGATCACAGTCTCTCCCTACTGCCCTTCAACTCCCCCCCACGGATGCTTTATAGCACATATAGGACAGACAGCAGATATAGCCTAGTTGACAGACCAGTGTCACAGTGTGACAGAGGCCTTGTGGACAAGGCCACAGTGTATCTAGAATATAGCTTTTCTCTCCTAATTTGCATATTCACCTTTCCCTGTTCAGGATGCCTTTGATGAATCCCTGATTAATAACCAAGTCTCCTCTCTGTCCCCTTTAGCCTTTTCCTGCACTACTTTTTACAAAAGTCTCTCCCTGACTTGGCTTTAATATTAGCATTCTTAGGCACAGGAGCTAAATGAACGTACTAAGATACTGAACTGGGCTATGCAAAGTGACCAACTACAGAGCTGACAGAAATCCTCAGCTGAATTTGTAAAGGAAACTGCCTTTCTTAAAATAGTGCCCAACCCGAGTTCTGAAAGGGGCACCTCCAGGTGAACAACAGTAGCAGGACCCCTTGCTGCTCATTTCTGCTTCCCTTTGGGGTTCCTTCCTCTGATTTTTAATGCTGTACTCCCTTCAATGCCTGGACCAAGTGGTCAAGATGTTACTTAGCTCCTTGGCCATGACTGACTCTCCATTTTTTCTCCTAAACAGCTGCAGCCAGCATGGAGGGTACCTCTGGATTTCCTCTTTCCTAGTTTGGGCTCTGCTGCTTCATCATGGGTTATCACTCTACTGTGTTCCCTGCCACAAAGCAGCTATCCCGATGGCCTGGAAGCCAGTGGCACCAAAGGCACTCCCAGTCACCCCTAGTTTCTGAGGCTGCGAACATTCACACAAGGAAGAATCTTTAGGGGTGGACTCCAACTCCTTCATACAGACCTATGCTTGGCCCCAGTAGAATGACTGCATCATAGCCCTAATGCCTGGGTAATAATTATACAGGTTGGGGTGGGATAAGAGTCTTACCCCCATAGTAAAGAGCCAGGCAAAACTGAAGCAGAAGGTGCCCAGCTATTTTGGTCACCAGTGAAACAGCTGAAGCCTTGATGTTTCACTCAAAAATTAATTCAGTACTACTCAGTGGATAACTCAAAACAAGTATAAGGATATTGTCTTTAGGAAATGTACACACAGTTCCAGTTATATTTTTGGAATCCCTGTCCTACAAGAACCCTTTTTCCTGTTGCCACTCCTTTGTCCCTGCTGCTCTGTCCCCTGGGATACCCTCCTCATTTTTCCAGCTGATCAGAACTAGCTAATTTTCCCAGTCACACACAGATTCCTCTGTAGTTTTTTCAAATCATTCCAGCTTCAGTAAGCATTCTGCCCTTGAACGTTTCCTTCTTGTCTTCATGATCCACCTGAAAAGTTAGGTAGTCTCTGTAACAGATTGCTCAGGTATCAGTGTCTACAATTATTATGTGTAAATTTTGCAGACTCTTGGGCGCCTGGGTGGCTCAGTCGTTAAGTGTCTGCCTGTGGCTCAGGTCATGATCCCGGGGTCCTGGGATCGAGGCCAGCATCGGGCTCCCTGCCCGGTGGGAGTCCTGCTTCTCCCTCTCCCACTCCCCCGGCTTGTGTTCCCTCTCTCGCTATCTCTCTCTCTGTCAAATAAATAAATTAAAAAAAAAAATTTTGCAGACTCTTTCCCAAAGATACGCTTTTGGAGCACATCGTTCCCAAATTTGGCCTCAATCTTTCTTCATTGTCCCTCTTCCAAACACCACTAACCCTGCCATACTTGCCAGCCTTTGCACTTAAAAGCCCTTCTTCCCCCCTCACTAACGCCTATTTTCCTTCCAAACTCAACACTGGTGTCAGCTCATCTGGTCAACATCTCATTTCCAGAGTCAGGCGTTAAGGTGCCTTCACTTTTCAGGGGCTGGAAGCGTGGAAAGCATCAAGACAGGCAACGTCCAGGACACGGCCACTGTCCCAAGCCCTTGGCACACGCGACAGAATGAAACACTACCACCTTCCCGAGCAAACTTTTCTTACACAGTAACAGTTTCGATGCCCAGAACGCTCTTGACAATTCCTTTGTTTCCAGCTACCCTCCAGTCTAAAAAACTTGGTTCCCCGGTCGTCTCCCGCTGGCTGTGTGCTCCTAGACCCAGGGGGAGCTCGGTACCCATCCTTCCTGGGGTCCCTTAGTTCCCTGGGCGCAGCGCATGGTCCCAAGTGGGAGCTTGTCACACAGCCCATTACATGGTTTTCCCAGACCCGCGGTGCGTGTGCTCCCCGGAGCAGCGGCACGTCTCACCCCATTCCTGAGCTTTGCAGTTCCGCAAACCTGTAGTTCCGTGAACTAAACGGGACGGCCTCCTCCCTCGCTAAAATTGACCCTCGCAGGCCACCACCATCCGTGCACAGGCGTGGGACCACCCCAGTCCCGGCTTCCGGCTGCATATACCAAATGTGGACGCGGGGGAGGTCCAGAACCGCCACGCAATTGCCTTTCCACCCTCCACGGCGTGCGGAAAGTGATTGTGAAGATGAAGTGAAGACAAGGACCTCCACTGACGGGAGCTGGGAAAGGCCGTCGCTGAGGAACCAACGCGTCCCCGTCCCTCCAAAACCAAGAGTAGGGGCGCGGGAAAGCCTTACCCGCGCCGGACCCAGCGCCGCACCCGCTTCCACAAGGCTCCCTCTCAGCGTCACGTGACCCGCGCGCCATTCTCACCGATCCCCGGATGTGGGTGAGCCCATTTGCTTGGGCGGAGGGGCGGTCTGGGGGGACGCTACTTCAATGAAAGGTGAGGGGGCAGTGGGCGGAACGAACGTGGCGACGACGGAGGCTGGACGGCGGGTCGGCGGGGACGCGCGTGCGCGCCCCCGCCGGAGGTAACGGCGGGAAGGCTCGGGGGCGCGCTCGCGGCGGCCCAGTAACCGCATGGGCGCCCGGGGGACAGGCGAGGGGCGGGCGTGTCCCGGTCCGGAGGCAGCCCTGGCTGCGGTGGCGCCGCGGGCTGTGCGGCCGTATGGCCCGGGGCCGGCCTCCGCCGCAGCCCGCCGGCCACCAGGCCCGCCCTCGCCGGCCCGGGTCCGCTGCGGCGCCCCGCCCGTCGGCCTCCCCGCGTACGCCCTGCGGACCCGCGAAGGCGGATATGGCCTTGCCCGGCGCGCCGTCCGGGCCAGCCAGGTGGTCAGCCCCTCCCCAGAGGCCGGGCCGGCGGGAGGGCGGCGGGGGGTGCGAGCAGCTGCCGCCGAGTCCTCGTCTTCCGCGGCGGAGCCAGCTGCGGGCCGCTCTTCCTTTGCAGAGGGACCCCCGGCACAGCCCTCCCGCCTAGGCTGCCATATCTGGTTAGCTTCCCAGCATTGTTGTGACTTAGGCCATTGACGGCACGTGGTGCCAGTTCACTTATGGGGGGAATTTAGCAATTCTTAAAAAGTGAGTTAATGTTAGTACAAGAAGTACGAAAGTGTGGCAGAAGTCGTGAAGGACTGAAGAAGTTGGGAAACCCCGAGTTTACGGATTGCTCCATACAAATCGGGGTGGGAGATAAATGATAGACTGAGGGTTTAAAAGGGACAGTTCCTTAGGAGCACTTTAATCGTGAAGATATTTGAGGACAGTAAATCTAGGCCCGATGTTTTTCTTGGTTCCTTACAACATCAGAGTAAAAACGAATCTGCTGTCAGTGACTAGTCTTCATTTATATTTAGAGTACCCTTATTTGCACGAAGTAGTTTTCATTAAGCCTTACATCCGCTTCCTTAAATTATTTCATTCCTTTAGTAAAGCAGAATTGTAGGGTAGGTACACTGCTGTTACAGAGTCCCCCACATGCTTGCATTCCATTTTATTTTATAGATGTGAAGACGAAGTCATAAGGATCATCAACTACATGTTACTTTCAGATACTTAATCATTGCTGTAGCTTAATGATACAATAAAGTGTATGTATTTTCTTAGTTGAAATGCAGTGCCGCCTTTAGATTTGTACAACTTCTTGCCCTTCGACTATATCACTATCAGTGATCAGTATAGTAAAAATGAAATGAAAACGGGTTAGAGATTCCTAAACATTTAGACAGTCACACTGCCCTTAACAATGTATGTAGATTCAGGTTTTAAAGATTATTTCTAATAAATGTGTATGTTAATTGTACTGTGCCATTTTACTCCCGTTAGAAGGTAGAAGACCTTTGCTTTGTCCTTCCCTTTCTCATTTATGTAGTAGTGGTAGCCAGCTGTGACAGCATCAGTAATCCACTTATCTAACCTTCTGAGCCACCCAGGCGCCCCCAGAGTTACCTACTTAAAAAAAAAAAGTCCCAACTTGATTTGAAATTCATCTGAAGCTAACATGAACAGTGGTTGCAGGGATTGAATTTATGTTTTGTTTTGTTTTTTTCTCTCTAAAAACTAAATTTGCTTTTTCGGTTTTACAAAGCTGCATTTCTGTCATCACACCTACGAAAACTTATAAAAATTACATGTCAGTATTCAGTCTGGGTTCAGATTTCCCCAACTGTCCCTTAAATGACTTTTTACAATTAGCTCGTTTAGGTCAAAATCCCATAGAGATCCACATGTTGTATTTGGTTGATACATTGTTTAAATCTTTTTTAATAGAGCAGTTCCCATATGTCCCTTTTCCCCCTCAGTATTCTAGGTTTAGCTGATTGCATCCGCATGACATCCTTTTAACATGCACATCTTTTCCCTTTTTTTTTTTTTTAAGATTTTATTTATTTATTTGAGAGAGAGAATGAGATAGAGCATGAGAGGGGGGAGGGTCAGAGGGAGAAGCAGACTCCCTGCTGAGCAGGGAGCCCGTTGTGGGACTCAATCCCGGGACTCCAGGATCATGACCTGAGCCGAAGGCAGTTGCTTAACCAACTGAGCCACCCAGGCGCCCCCATCTTTTCTCTTTAAACCTGTGGTTAGATCTAGAATTGCACTGTTCACTATAGTAGCCACCAACCAGCTCTGGCTATTTAAATTAATTAAAATGAAATAAAACTAAAAATTCTGGTCCCTAGTTTCATTAGCTACGTTTCAATTGCTCAGTAGTTACAGGTGCCCGGTGGCTACCCTCTAAATGGTGCAGACATAAAATATTTCAATAATTGCAGAAAGTTCTGTTGAATAGCACTGATCTAGAAGATCGGATTTAACCTTAATTTTTTTTTTTTTTTTGTGGGGGTCAATAAGATTTCCTAGGTAGTGCGTAGATAATCTATTGCATTAATTATCAGAGAGGTATGAAATGTCTGAGTTGTCTCTCTTGTGTTAAGATTGAGCAGTGTAATGGGTTCAGGTATTGTTAGCCCAATCCATCTATCCTCAAATTCCCCATGAGCTTTTCACTTAATGGTGAAATCTTTTTATGGATTTAGCATCGCCTGTATCCATTATTGCATTAGGGGTTGCAGAATGGTGATTTTCCAATCCTGTCATTCCTTCAGTATTTATTAGCTGGAAATCTTTTATGAAGAAGAACTCTACCCTGCCAGCTATTTGACTGCCATCAGCTATTTGAAATATAGTTTGTACAGGAAAGGCAAGAAAAATGCTTAATTCTTTCCCTCTATTTTTGGACTACAGTAATGAGATGGTGGCCTAGCAACTTCCAAAAGTAACCATGAGGGTTTCTGCCTTTTTTTTTTTTTTTTAAATCATCATGGACTTGAATATATTTAAACCTTTTCAACTTATTGCAGTCTTTTTTTTTTTTTAATACTCAAATTGCTCTTCCTTTGGTCAGCGGCATCCCCTTTAAGTTGGCTCCTGTCCATTTTGATATGACCAGTAGTCTTTGATAATCAATTTCCCTATTTTTTGGTAAAACATGTTCCTCCCTCATTTATCCATTAATGGCCACCAAAAAGCCCTGGTTCCTTTGGGTGGGAGATGGTATTTAGAGACCACAGTCTGGGTGCTAGAGGTGCTTATAGTGCCAGGTTGGTCAATGGTTCTAGGGTTTACAGTGGCCAGAGTTAGGAAATATATATATTTTTAAACAAATATACAGAATTCACACTGATATTTACATTTTAATTTAATTTTTTGTATTTGTTCTTATATTTGGGTCTTTTTGTCTTGCTGAAAATCTTGGAACCTAATGTCATTAATGTAATTACTTTTTTAAAATCCTATATTATATATATTAATTTCAAATTAATTATACCAATTTTATTATTAACAATATGATTCCTGAATAGTGTTTAGGATTTCTTTGCAGTTCTCTTTTTATCTTTAGTTATATCCTACTTGGGATATGTACAGTAGAATTATTGCATTTTAAAGGCATGTGTAACATTTTGTTATATGTTTAGTTTTCCACCTTGATATCTAATTGATAGTTGATCTGTTTCATTTTGTTTCCAATTTTTTCATACTGCTTTTTTTTTCCCATTTGGATTTGTTTTATTATATGTAAAACATTAGCATAAAACTACAGATATCCAGACAAGTTTAGCGTTCATTCCTCTTTTCTCCACCATAGTTCCCTTTCTTTCTTTTTTTTTAAATATTCATTTATTTTGAGAGAGAGAGAGAGTAAGAGAGGACAAGCAGAGGGGAGGGGCAGAAGGAGAAGCAGACTCCCCACTGAGCAGGGAGCCTGATGTGGGACTTGATCCCAGGACCCTGGGATCATGACCTGAGCTGAAGTCAGATGCTTAACAAACTGAGCCACCTAGGCACCCCCTAGTTCCCTTTCTTATAGGTATCATATTTACTAGCTTTGGGTTTATCCTTCCATAAAAACAAATGCATTATCTACTTGCTTCTCCCCCCTGGTAATATATGCCTTGTAGATCCTCCTTAGAAGAAATATGTTATCCATTTTTACAGCTTCATAATATTCCACTGGTGGATGAATATTCAACTAGTCCCTGTTGACAGGCCTTTGTGCTGTGTCCTACTGTTGCATATAGCGCTGCACTGTGTGTCCTTGTGCATATGTGATTTTGTATTTTTGCCAGTGTGACTTTGGGATAGCTTCCTAGAAGTGGCATTGTTGGATCAAAGGGTGAAGTCATATTTCTTAGTTGCTAGGTATTGCCAAAATCTCTATAGAAATTGTACCATTTTCCATTCCTGCCTACAGTGTATATGAGGGCCCATTTTCCTATAAATATATCTGTCATAAGAGTGTATTGTCAAACTTTTGAGTTTTGGTTAATCTAAATATAGAAGGAAGGGTAACTTGGTGTATTTTAAATTTGTATTTCTCTTCTTGTAAGCAAGATAGAGCATCTTTTCATATGT